TAATAATATTAATCATTCATACAGCCTATATATACATTAAAAATAAATACAGTCTATATTATGAAAGTACAAGTAGTAGAAGAACATTAACTTAAGTTACTGCAACAGTGATTTATGAAACCAAGGTTAAGTAAGTGATACAATATGAGGAAAAGATATATATATACCTAAAGATTTTGGCAGCAGGATTTTGACAAATTCATTGTGGTCCCCTACATGCAGGATGCTATATATGCTTGTGTTCATCAGCTCTTCTTGGTTGTACCTTAGGTACTGTGTCACATTCTCAGAAACAAACACAACATTACCTTCTGGGTTCACTACAAAGAAGAACCCATCTAGGGCCTAAAGGGAAAAAAAAAAAAGGCAAACAAAAAGAGCAGAGAGAGAGAGAGAGAGAGAGAGAGAGAAAAGGAGAAGAGAGAAACAATACCAAACAATCAGATTAACAAGATACCCCAAAAATAAATACTCCCTTCAAAAGACATAGCCAAATCTTTCTGCAGCCACCCCAGATCTTTTATTCTTGGCTATAATAGAGAAGGACGTATTTCAGGTTGAGCATCTAATCTTATGTTTATCAAACCAGTGTAAAAGCAAAGAAAGGTGCATATCTTCCAAAAAAAATGAAACCCATGCATGAAAACAAACCACCACCACCCCATCCTAAACAAACAAAAACAATGGAACAGGTTGCTACCTATCTGGCCTTCCTATGAAGTAAGAAACCTAGACCAGAAGCTTGTTCTTCTAGACCTACAGCCTGTATGCTACTCTATGCAGCACATGGGAGACTGATCCCAGGAAAATTTCACAGAATGTGCTTGGCACAAGGCAAGGCAAACACTGGCAGAAAGGAAAAAAAAGGCTTTCTCCCTGTCCATAACAGTGCATTTTTATATAAATGAACCCCATGCTGTTGGGAAGATGAGGAGTTAAAAGCAGAGAAGAGCAAAAGAAGCTGAGAGCAGGCAGAGAGGAGTGAGGATGGGGCACATTTAGTCCCTGCTCCCAGGACTGCTTTTTATTTCGTTTGACACCAGCTTAATTTAGTCCACATATGATGCAGAGAACAGGAATCAGACTTTTACCTCTTAATTTCAGCTCTACAGGTAATTCCAAAGGACAAAGCTTTTGTAAGGAAGTGTCTAAATTAGTAATTTCTGCTGATTGGTCTCCCTCCTTATCTCTTGTGATGGTGACAACCTAGCTGCAGCATTCTTTCCAAGATATTTGCTGTATGTTATCTGAAGCCTAAGACAAATACTACATCACTTCTACCTGATGAGGATAAAGCAAAAAACTGAGTAGCAGCCACAACTTCTCATGCAAACTTTCCTTTCCTTAAGATGCAAGCATGGATGTGGATGGTAGAAATACTCCAAAATACAGCCCTCTAACCTATGACATAATGAGCAGATAATGGGAGGTACATTTAAATCTAGAGCACCAAAGCTTTTGGTCTAAGCATTCAATTAACAATTAACCCATACAGACTTCTCCAATTTTGCTTGATTTATTCAACTCTCTCAGAATTGGTGGGAAATCACAAGAACAGTTAAGTTTTTGCATCTCCAGGGACAGAAAACAAGTCAGAAAAACAGGCAAGCCATGATTCATTCTGGGTTAATTAAAAGTGAGTGGCTCTGTACTAAATCTGAACTCAGCTCACTGCAAAACAGTCTGACAAAGAGAAGCTGCCACAGCAAGTGTACATAGGCATGTGGCTTTTCTGAGATGACCAAACTTGCACACTGTACACCTCACGTGTTGGTCTTAGCAGGCAGTCCTCAAGTCCTCAGCCTACAGACACATACTAAAAATACTGTACACTACTGAGCACTTAGAAAATCCAGACAATAACAATAAAAAAGAGGAGGCTAGGGAGGGATCTTATTTCTGTCTTCAGTGACCTAGCAGAAGGCTAAAGAGAAGACAGAGCCAGGCTCCAGTCAGATTTTAAGAAGGGAAGAATGAGATGCAATGACACAGGCTGCAAGACAGGAAGCTTCATGGAGGTACAAGGAAAAAAAACCCAACCACCATGAAGGTGGTCAGATATGGGAAAAGGCTATCTGAAGAGCCTGTGAAATCTCCTTCCCCAGAGATATTCAAACCTGGGCTGGACTCAAACCTGAGCCACCTGCTTTAGTTGACCTGCTCACAGTGGGACCACACAAGCTCCAGAGGCCCTTCCCAAATGTAGTTAATGACTCTGCTAAAGGGGAGGAACAGTGAAACCACAATGCACAAATGGAGTGGCTAAACTAATGGTTGCCAAGTGCTTTGTTTGTTCTATTTTTAAATTACAAAATAATAAAATCCACAAATAAATGTACAAGTATATACTTTTCCTGAACAAAACATACATTAAGATAAACTAGGTCTTTTTTATTCCTGTTAATTGTCAACAATTCTAATCTCTGACTTGGTTTTTATCATAGCCTTCTTTTGTTTCAGATTGTTCTTGGTTCCTCTTATTAATTCACTTCCTTTGGAGAGCTCCCTCCTTTCCTCCTTTCCATGTGCTTTTGTAACACTCATGACATTTTCCTGATGACCAATATTTAGTTCAATGAACAATGATTTACATGATTTAATTAATTGAGGCTCTAATACAATTTTCTGTCAGCATGTCTGCTACGGATTAGTGTCTTAAAACTACATTTCACCACTGCTTGAAGCCACTGTAAGCTTTGGTTTAGTCCTCTTTACATCATGATAGCTCCCTGTAATATCTGAGCATATGAAGAGCTGGACCAGAGAACTGACTTGGCTGAAAATTGGTTCAAGACAAAAAAGCCCAACAACCTAAGCAAAAAATGCTATCCACACCAGTCCCCTGAACTGGCCCACCATGAAAATACATGGCATTTAGAGCTGGCAGAAAGGTGTGGGATTGGTGGAACCACTCTGTGTGGCAGCATTCCATGCTTACATTGATGCAAAGGGATTGCAAAGCTAAAGCCACATCTTCAGAACACAACATTCAAAGGTAAGCAAGATGGCAAACAAGAGATTACAAGAGTTACTGGCATCCCACAGTAATCTTCAGTTTTCCCTACTATTTCCTACTACAGCAACTACTTTGGCAAGGAAGCTCTCTGTGCTTTTTCCTCAGAGATGCTTCTTGGGTTGACCACAAAAGCGGTCATCTGAGCCTAAACACAGGGTCTCCCAGTTTCCCATTTCTTTGTATTTCATTAATAAAATAATCTTTCAAGTAAGCAGCAGCAGGCTTTTGAGCCAGTTAATGCACCAAGCCACAGAAATCTTCTAGAAGCCTCCCACTACTGCAGTAATTTCTTAATTCTGTCCCCAGATGTATGCTACCACAGTAAACACCTACAACAGTAATGAAGGCCAGCACACTTTTCTTCAGAGCTATTTGGACAATGGGGGAACAAATAATGGATAACATGCTGGAAAAGAAGGTAAGAGAACAAATTATTTTAGATGATACACTGGAATAGAAAATACAGTTGTGTTCTTTGAGCTGTTGTCAGCTCTCTCCACTACGCTGTCATTCTCTCTTCCTACCTACTTTCTGCTTTACCATGAAATATGTTAAAATACTCCTCAAAGGCAGCTGCATGATGAATTTTACTCACTGTCTTCAGCTGGAAATACTCATTATTTGGAGGATTCTTCAGTTTTATTCTTGAATAAAACGAGACAATTACATTTCTAAACCAAATCAACTAACAGACTACTCATCAGCATTGCCATCATTATTATTACTGTTTGGCAATGGAAAAGGGTATGTTTTTGAAGAGATTGTATACAGGGGTTCTGTAAATATGAAATAACTTAACTGCATTTCCTTAAGGAGATAAAGACACAAAAAAAGGTATCTATAGTCTTTTCACAGCAAACATATAACAGCTTTTGGTTCTTTCAAGTTTCTTGGTACAAAAGGACCACCATTTATTAATTTTGTTCCACAATCTTTCATTTTTAATATGCAATCGTTTTACTGTGAAGGAAAACTAAATTAAATACAGTAACAGAACAGACGGGTAATTTCACATGTCATGTTTGTTGCAATAGCCAATCATGCAAGATAAGCCAGGAAAAGAAAAAGCATCTTCTTATTTTCCTTGTGATTAAAACAGGTCCTTACAATTACATCAATAGAAAGGCAAAGAAAAAAATTTAAGACAGCATGTAAGAGAAGGATGTTTAACCTTGTTCGATAGCAAAAAGAAAATAGTCAATTCAGAGAGCACATACAATAAATATCAAATTAAGTAAATTTGTTGCCCCTGCTTTTTAAAGAATGCTTTCACTCCAACTTGCCTAGTCTTCCTTGTTTGGTACTGTGCTTTTGGAGTCTTCATTTTGTACATTTATTTTGAAACTGGTTTCCTCTAACAAAGAATGAAAAATAATGCAAATACTTAAACCTGTTATAACATTAATCTTTCTCTTGCAACTTTCAGAGCTGACAGAATAATTATGTTTCTGCCAAACTTGGTTCCTTTAGCTTGATTCAGAGCATGTATTTTGTTTTAGCCAAACTAACATTTATTCTTCCTTATAGATAAAGACTACAGTCAGAACAGGAATAAACACTTTGCAAGTGAGCTTAAGCAGATAAAGCAGTAGTGCCAAAGGACAGTACAGTATGACATTAGGATCTCAGATAACACACCTACCCAACATCACTATTAACATATGTAGAAGCTAGGTTTTAACCATGGAGCCTTTTGAGATATCAAAATAACAGCTAAAATCAGACAGAAATTGTAACTGAACAAGCTGAAATAGCTTGAAAACTCTCCTAGATTACTTTCATATTATAGAGGGAAGATTCATGCTGAAATGATAAACCATTAAAACAGTATAGTGATGGCATGCCATTTTAGAGGAAGTACTACTCAGGTGTATACTAATGTTTAGGTACAACAGGCCTTACGAATCTATCACTGTTTATAACAAAACGTGCACATGCAGATACCCAAGATTTGCCACCCCCACTTAAGCCCCTCAATTTGTCTGCCTCACAGAGCAGCTGAATAATCCCTTTCTCTGCTTCTCCCCATGCCAAGTTTCACCTCTGGAATCAACAAAAATATGCTGCCTGCTCTTAAATTACATAATCCTAAGTAGCCAGAATGGCTTGTCTCTCTTGACCATTTTTTTTACTGCAGGCTCTGACTGCACTCTTTCATTTAATTACACTGCTCTTTATCCTAGGGGAGTAGAACTGGCTTAAATAAAGGAATTTTGTGCTCTTCACCTCAAGCATCATTGGTCCAAGTGCATCCTTGTCGATGACACTCTGACCTGTCGATGATACATCTGCTTTTTGCACTTCATCTTCGTTAGCTGCTGCTGCTTTTTCTGCAATATAAAAAATTATGTATTAAATGACAGAGTAGTGCTAAGTGATATAATAAGAACCTACCAAGTATTTAGTCTAGCTATGAAACAGTTACAGTGCAACAATTCTGAAAACGAGATTAAGTAATGATTTCACAGAAGCGTAACTAGTATATATAGTTTTGAAGTTTTAAGACACAAGTGAAATAATTTCTGCTGTTACTTTACTAGACATTTTACTAAATTCTAAAACATAACTCTGGGCAAAGAGAAAGGCTACTTATGGAGGTACAGTGAGCAAAAGGCAGCATCAAGGTGTATCAAAAGACAGATCTAAAAGTGTATGCAAAGCTCACAGCTGCACAACTTTTCCATGATCGCTATATTTAGAAGGAAAAACATCAGGCCGCAATCTACTGTTTCAGTACTGAGAAACAGCAGTGTCATTTCTGTTCCCATGCCTCCACCCACATTTTTACTATCATATTATTTTTATACTACCTTATTTACCAATATGTTATTAGAACTACATACATTTTCAAGTGCTGTACTTGAAAACTACAGGCAAAAATATACTGATTTAAGGTTTCTGAAGCATAATGTCAGCTATTACAATATGTTATATATAGTATCACAGATCATACTAAACTCCAAACATAAGGCATATTCATATATACTGGAACTTTCAAATCAAGAGGGTTTGTAATTCCTATTAAGTAATGGACTGTATTAATTTTTATATTCCAAGAATGATATTGGTATTTAATGGTGTTAAGTAACAAAAGTAATCAAAACACTATACAAAATACATATTCGACATTATAATTTAATGGAACGCTTAATTTTCTGTTGCTAGTTCTATACTCAAAACTTTCCTTTATTGATTTTCAAGCAATTAGGTAAAAGCTAGGGCTATATTGCAATCTAGAATACTAAAAATCATTAAAGGTTTTAAAAATGTTAATATTAAGCAATAGATTATTTTAATAAACAAAAAAGCACACTGAAATGATGATAAGAATTCTACAACACTAAACCAGAAGAATATTCACTGTTGGAATTACTGAAAATACCATGTGCAGGTGGATCAAAGGGACTTCAGAAAATTATGCTTAGTGAAAATTAAAGCATTGGTCACACAAATTAAAATGTATGCAAATACACAGTATTTCCCACGATCTGCAGATCTAAAATACTGTAGCCAAAGCTCCTCTGAATCCTTTCCTTGGCAGAAGTTTTAAGGTCAGTGTGAAAAGGTGCTACTTAGACATATAGTAAAAGAGCTGCTTCTCAGAGCCCTCAAATGTTGTCCTGTCAGAGACCACCTGCTGGCAATAAGGCTTTGGTCACTCGGGGTGTCTCACCTTAGATTTCTGTGGTTTCTTGCTTTCATAAAAAATGGGTAATGAAAATCTGAGCTGTCTTCTTAGGGTGTGTTCATACACAATGTAAGACCATTATGACCTGGTCTAGTGGTAGGGTTCCCTGCTCATGGTAGGGGGGTTGGAACTTGATGATCTTTAAGGTCCCTTCCAACCTTAATGATTCTATGAATAATGATGAAACAAAATTGTTCTGAAGATGGACTGTTGCAAGTGATGGAATAAAATTATATCACCTGGATTAGCATAACTGAATAAATATGCCAGAAGTAACTATTAACCCTTCCTCTGCCTCTTAAACTCATCAGAATACAAAGACTGCAATGGGATTTTCTTTTTTTCTTTACTGTTGCCAAAAAGCAGAATTTAGGTGTAACAGAAAAAGCCCTAAACAATCCCTCCCATGCTTGCAATAGAGCAGAGTTGGCACCATAAGATGATACAATGCTGAAAACATGTTCTAAAAATTGTGAAAGAATTTGAAAAATATTCTAAAAATAGGGTTGAGCTTTTAATAAAGTCAGAGATGATATTTGTTTCCCATCTGTTCCCGGTAATATAAAGTGATCCCTGGTTTCACACTGCAAAACAGTATAATGGATATACAGCTTGCTGCTTTCACCCTCTCACTGCTGCAGCCATGATACCATCTCGAGTACTGGAGAACATGAGATTATCCTCTGTGGGCTAGAAATGGAAGGGCTGCATACACCAACAGTAACGGTGTGCAAGCATTTCCACTACTCAGTATTTACAGATTTCACTGATTTATGAAGACTACTCTTATGATAATTTTTCCAACAATACAAAATATTTGTTGAAGATTTTTCTCCTTAGAACCACAGAGTTTATACAAACCAACCAAAAGTTATCTATTAAAACCACTGTTATCTTTTGTGCACACAAAGGTATTATGCAAAGAAAATGTAGAAGTTTTTAATTACTGTAGAAGCTGTGATACCAGGTCAGATCAAGGATCTCTCAAGCCTCACATCTAGTCCCTTACAGTGGCTGTTTTCCCCTCTGGCTCCTTATTTCTCCATTTTGATCCCTGAATGCTTCTGCTCCATCATCAGCTGTATCTCGCAACCATCTGACTTCTCAACTTTCTTTTCCCTTAGAAACTTTTTTCCACAGGAGGCCAACACCTTTGTGGGATCAATAAACACCGTGTTTGCTCAAAGAAAAAGCCTAACAAATGGAGAAAATATGACAATGCTACTTAGACACAAACATTGCCTATCTGCCTCCCCCAGTGAGGGTGACAACATACAGTGGTGTTTGGTCATAATGTTTGGACATACATACCAGGAGCCTTTATAAATCATAAGTACTCCAAAATTATGGACTTCATAATTTGATCTGTAACTTCATTGTGTAAGAAGTTAAGTGGCTGGTAAGCTTAGATGAGGCTACACATTCAGACCACATTTCCCAACACATCTATTCAAGCTTCATTGTAGAGGAAACCATGGCCTCAGACACCCTCTGAGCAGGACCAGCAGTAATTTACATAGATGCTATGAACTGCAGCTACTGATCATGTTAAGCTGTGCACTAAATTATCCATTTTTGACTACAAACTACAAAGCCCCTCATGAAGATTCTAACAGCACATACAGGAAAACCAAAAGTGCAAACCCTGTCAGCAGTGTCATCCTGAAAGAGAGGCATGGGGAACGTCTTGAAATGCAAAACTTTTCTTCAGCAATACAGCATGCAGGGCTAATTGAGAACAAAAATGTGTTGCAGGAAGGTAGGAAAAAACCAGCATCTGATCCACAAATTTCTAGTGCCGATAACACTTGTACATTTATGACAAGCTGGTATTTGTTGGGCTTCTGGCGTTAAGTAGCGGAGCAAAAATATGAAGTTTACTTTTCCTTTTTTTACTTCTATCTTTTTTTAGGTTCACTGAGGGCCCTACAAACAAATCAAAAGCAGATAGAATTTATTATCTCTACACTGGATTAATGATTTTTGAATGTTAGGGGTTAGGAAAATAGCTGCAGAGGCCCAACCTTGCAAAGTCTCTCAGAAGCCTTTTTTCCAGCCCCATGGGAACTGCCTGTATTATCGTGTGACTATAACCACAGATGTTTGATTTTTCCACTGTGGGCACCAGCAGGGAGAGCAGGAGCTCATTCCCTTATCTTGCACCTTCCAGTGATGCTGCCTCCTAGAACAGTGATGCCCCTGTTCAATGTAAAACACTAGGGAGGCCTTACCAGGCATCCTACGGGCAGAGAGGCTAAGAGGGGAGGTTTAGTGTGGAAAGAGAAATACAGCCTTGTGCCAGCAGGGGAAGTGAGCAGGGTGGAAAGAGGCTTTCCATGGCTTCATCTCCACACCAGGAATTCTGCACTGGAGAGGGAGCATTGAATCAGAAACCAGTCCCATTCTTTTGAATATGACTACCAGGGATCAAGCATATTTTATCTAAATTACAGCAGAATAAACTTAATGCGCATGAAATAATTATTAGCTCTGCTCAATTAAGAGTTTAGCCTAGAGAGAGGAAAAAATTTAAATAAAATAAAAGCACTCCTGAGAGAGATACTACAAAGACTGTATATATGTAATTATGTAGCATTTTAGTAGTGAGTGTAAATTTAGACTTTAAACTGTGAACATGTTTACAACTATATACACAGTAATATACTAAAATACATATTAATATCTTCAATTTGGCATGTTCCTAGTGATCATAAACTACATTTACTTTTCTACGTTAACATAGCGAAGAAAGAAGAAAAAAAAAGCCCTCAAAATATTTTCTGACAAATTTATCAGTGAGAAAGCCTCAAGCTTTACTTGAAGCTCATTCCAGATTCTGAAAGCAAACCTTTGTGAAATCACATTAGCTTAACAGAAATTCATAAGTCAGAGAAAGAGAAGCCAAAAGCAATAGTTTGAAGTCTCCTGCTACATTTTAACTTAGGAAGCCTTCTTGTTTTCAATCCTCCTAACTCAAGCTATGTTGGTTCCCTCTGGATTTCTGACAGCACACTCAGAAGTGCTACTGACGGGCATCACCTTCTCTTGACTGTGTTTCAAACTTCCTCTTCCTACAGGTGGTCAGGGAGGACCAGCGGAACCACCCAAAAAGCTCTCTTTGTATTCAAGCTCTACACCAACTTCCTTAAAGAAACCAGCTACAGAAATATATCCTCCTTGATGCTCTCTGCAAAACCAAAATGCACGTTCAAAGTAAAGAACAAACCCATAAATTCTGGAGGGACTGCAAAAAGCTGAAGCATCATCTGAAGAAACAGTTTGCACCAACACATACTTATTTTATTTTTCATAGGAGAAACACTTAGGATTCTTCACAGAATGAGGAGAAAAAAAGGGACACTGGCAAAACCCTAGACAGGGCAGCACCGGTGTTCTCCAAACTGCTGAGAAGAGATAAACGGAAGAAAACCTATAACAGGCAGAATCAAATTTATTATCCAATACTGTTTAAAACAGGGTTTCTCAGGTGCCCCATATAATTCCTATTCATAATTTTCTGGAGCTGCTACTCTAATGCCACACCCATCTCAAATCATACACCCTCATTTACAAAGTAACAGATACAAAATATAAGGAAAGAGATCTATTACAAGGGATACTAAATAGCTCAACTCTGTACAT